AATAATTTATGTAGCTAAAATTTGAGAACATCTAATAATTAAAGCACTTCTAATGATTATAATACTTTTTAACGAACAGAAAACATTTGCAACTGCCAAAGTAGTAAAATGCATGAAAGAAAAATTCTACTTTGATAAATGTACAGCGAGTCACAAAAATATTCGTACTCTTTCAATCGCCGACTTTGATATTCTTTTACAATATAAACTTCGAAGTTCAATAAGATAACATTCTTATTGATAAGAATTTCAAAATTTATATTGTAGAAAGAACCCGAATCGTTCAATATTGGCAATTATTGGAGGACGGTGGTACGAATACTTCTATGATTCAATGTATGATATTTTAAAACGACATTTGAAAGAAATTTCATCAAACAGTGAGCGTTCGAGATAAAAACGGGGGTGTTATAGGAACGATCCAAAGAGGAGATATGTCACCCACGGAGGTGACCGAAGAGCGCCATTATTGGCCAAGGCCAATGACCATTCCCAGCCCAAGAGGTAGCTCATTCTCGCTGGTTTCAAAGATCCACGTTACTCACTGTTTATAGACAATTAAAACCAGCATGACAATGTTGCTCGATTAAGACTTTAATCTATCGTTTCCACGGAACGGAATTACGATTAGAAGCTATCATAAGTGTATATAATTAATATCGATAATACCACTTATTAATTGGAATAATAATTTTTGTTACTTCGTTCGAACGATCTAACACAGATCTCTTCTCATGCAAGTCGACGACTGACATTCACGTTTCGCTTCTTTAAAGCGGAAGCGCAAGAATATCAGAGAGTAATCTTGCATTTCCTTCTTTTTAATCTGGTTAAGGTAATCGTACCTGAATACTACATTTTTGATCACCAGATTGCGAATTTCTATACAAGTTCGTACTTTTATAAATTCAATTGACCAAATAGAATCTAAGTAGAAATTCATAATACTTCAAATATTCTGTACATTTCGCTTGCCCTTGCGATTTTTCTCTATAAATGTATAAAAATTCGCAGCCTATTGATCACCAACTTTTGGTCTCTGGGCGTCTCGTTAACTCAGTGTAAATAACAAACAGTTAATTAACTTCATTTCCAATTGGCGACGTAAAAGATACCTGAACTGGCTGGAGGGGGATGGAGATAACTAAATTAGTGGCTAATTTGACTCCCTTTCGCGAAGAAATTGTTCAAAATTTGTGTTCCCTTTAGGTGCACAAATAAAGAGGAAGCACCCCTGCGAGCAGAGCTCGTGTTATCCTTCGACAGGAAATTTATTAATCGGCCGAAAGAATCGATTAACAGCGTCTTCTACCTGCGGCCTTTACAGACCGGAAAGATATTGTATCGTTTCGCATCTAAAGGAGCGGAAGAAATGCTTCTTCTGTGATGCATCATCGCCCACCAAGCAGCACAACATCGAAAATGTTGTTACAGAGTAAGTAACTTCTTTCTTTATAGAAATATTGCGTCACGCCTTGCATTTAAACGATCTCCTCCCAGTAGAACAATGAAATTCATAATTTTAATATTTGTTACATTAATTTAACAATTTAGTCAACGACGGAAATTATCTAGGAAAAAAGTCTAGTGGAGAAAGTAATATTAAAAATTCCATTCTATCGATGAAATTATACATTTGTTTCTTTCCCTTATTCTTCACTTATCACTTTCAATTTCACTCATTTCATTTGACAGTAAAAACTGGTGGCAAGCGGAGAACGGCGTGGAAAACGTCACGATACGCTTTGACCTGGAGTCGGAGTTCCACTTTACGCACATCATCATCCGTTTCAAGACGTTTAGACCGGCGATGATGTTGATCGAACGATCGTCCGATTACGGTAAAACTTGGCAAGTGTATCGATACTTCGCCCACAACTGTGAGAAGTATTTCCCAAATATATCGACGAAACAACCTCAGAAACTGACGGACGTTATCTGCGAAACAAGATATTCCGCCGTGGCGCCATCGTCTGGAGGTGATGTTATCTTCAGGTATGTGAATAACAAATTAAATTGAAATGCATAACGCTGATCCTACGCATTGTCGAGGTCTCTGCATATCGTTTGGCGATAAAATGAGGCTCATATCTCGCAATTGGAGATAGAAAAATAATTAACACATTGACGTTTATGCGTCGCATGTTACTTTAATTTTGTCACTACTTAATATGAGGAAGTAGAATGAAATACTT